CATCCCCCGGGGGGCGGGGGAGTGGGAGGCCCTCAGGGCTTCCTGCGGGGCCGCCCCGCTGCGGCCCGGGCACGGCCACTGAGTCGCCGACGGGCAGACCCAGAGGCACGTCCCCGTGAGCAAGGGACATTCCCCCCGGGGGGCGGGGGAGTGGGAGGCCCTCCTCCGAGTGGCGGAGCCTGAGGGAGGCACGGCCTCTCCATCTGCTGCGACTCCTGGGACGCGATTCCCAGGCAGCCGTGGACACCAGCACGGAGGGCCCTGCCTCCCGGCCGCCCCGTGAAGCCACGCGCTGGCGCCCCAGACGAACACAGAGGTCACTTTTCCCTTCAGACAGCTCTGACAGTTTTCACAGACATCTGTCATCGTGTCACAGGGACCCGGCTGACTCACTGCAGAGTCCCGGTACACGTCACAGCATTTCTGAACAGCGTCATCACGGTCCCCAAAACACCAGGGCTCGCCCCACCCAGGCAGCACGACCCCCTTCGCCACGCCTCCGGATCCACCCGCCGGGACACTGTCCTCCGGCGCTGGCCTGGAGCCGCGGCCCCTCGCGCCGCTGCGGCCCGCTGCACAGGCCGCCCAGGGGGGCACCCACTCCCCAAGGGGGGCATCGCTCCTCACTGGTTCCCATGGCAACACACACATTCACTTCTCTGGAGAGTTCTAAGGCCAGCACCTCTCAGCTGACACCTTGATCTCCCACCTTGATCTGCGGCCGCTGCGCCCAGTGTCACAAAGCCCAAGAAGCCCCGACTCGAGGTGAGGTGAGCAGTGTGGATGGCCCGGGAGCGTGTGCAGCGCCGCGGCCCCACCCCGCCTCGTAAATGCTGCCTTTAAGAACCCAAACTTCACGTTTAAGTTCTGGCTACTCAGCAAAGACAGTAACTTCAAGGAAGTGTAACTCCGGACAGCAGCTTTCAAAGCCCAGCAGCACCTGCGAACGAAGCGTCGGTCCCCATGAGAACGTGGGAAACTCACCTTTCTTAGTCGCAGAGGCAAAAACACCTCGATGGTAGCAATCCCCGTGGCTCTGAAGTGCTCGTTGCCGGCGCCGCGCGCGATGGCCCTGCGGCGGATCTCCTCGATCGCCCTGCCGGCCTCGCTCTCGCAGCAGTCCAGCCGGTCCGAGTACTTCCTGGCCAGGTCCTGCCGCGCACAGCAGAGAGCACACGTCAAGCCGGTGCCCGGGGAGCCGCCAGGCGGGCGGGGCTCCCGGGCCTCTGCGGAGAGCTGTCCTGCGCTTCAGCGGACACTCAGGTGACTGGACCCCTGGGCCGGTGTCGGAATGAGGACTCAGGAGGACCCCGCCAGGACAAGAAAACAGGCCCAACAGGAAAAGCTGCAGTGACTGAGGTTAGTCTGGGGGAAGGGCGGCTGCGGCTCCAGGCCCACAGGCCCCAAACAGGCCTGCGGTGGGGTGCCGGCCCCGGAGGGGGGGGGTCAAAGGCACTCTCATTTTCTAACTTGTCAGAATGCGTGGGAAAAATCTGAACCACGGCACTAGTTACAAACTTATTTGTCAAAGGAGACATCAGCACTGATAAAGCACCCCTAGAAGATGTAAGTGGCGCAAAGACAGACATGACTCTCAGAGCCAGCACTGGAAGACGCTGCGCTCGCTCCCCTAAAGAGTATTTGCATTTGGACTTCTCCATCTAGAGCTTCCTTGAATGTGCAGAGCAACACAATACCTCACCGCGCTGAAAAGTAACAGTGTAGCTGTGTGTTCCTGGTGGGGAAATGCTCAGGATACACAAAGTCATAAAAAAGAAATCAGTGTTATATTTTTAAAATAATAGAAGTTTATTTAAAATATGTTTTTTCTGGAAGAACTTAGACCTACTATCGCTCAAACTTTTTGAAAAAACTGAAGAGGGAACATGTCTCGAAACAGTTAATGAAACCAGTAACACAGAGGCAATGGCCACAGCCATTAAGACAACAGGAAACAAGGAATTCAGACTGGAAATGAAGAAATGAAATTAGCACTATTTTCAGACAGTGTAAGTATAAAAAAACCCTAAGGACTCCCGCAAAACACTACGAAATGTGGCAGACGACCAAACTAATACACACAAATCTGTTGCATTCCTAAATGCAAATGAACAGGGGGAAAAAAATCAGGAAAATAATCCCATTTTACAATGGCAACAAAAAGACTCAAATAAGGTTAACCAAGTGAAAAGTCCCCGCAATGAAAACTACCAGACACTGGGCCCTCCCCGGGGGCACTATGGCGTGCTCCGGCCACGGCAGTTCCATCGCTGCCCCCTCGGCGGTGTGTTTCAGTCACTCTGCCTGTTCTGCTCCCCACTCTGTCTCTGGGGAATCCTCCCACCCCATGCCTCCGGCCTGTACCCCAGTTCTGTGTGCATAAATAAATCTTTAAAAAAAAAATTGCCAGATGTTGTTAAAGCACACTAAATGATGGAAAAGATACCAGATGTTCGTGAAAGGAGAGAGCTAGCGCAGTCGAGATGCCCTCCTACCAAACACAAGACACTGATTCAGTGCAACTGCCAATGATATTTTTCAAGGAATTAGAGCAAAACAATACAAAATCTATGTGTGAACACAAAAGTCCCAAGTTGCTAAAGCAATTGTGAGAAAAAAAAAGAAAAACATGTTGTCCAGTTTTAAGCTACATTAGAAACCAACAGAAATTAAGGCAGTATGGCACGGGGGTAAGAACAGACAACTGGCTGAGCCCCAAAATATACTCACAACCTGCCGCCACCTGAGCTAGACAAAGGCGTCTGCCGCACAGCGGAGGAGGGGCGCTCTCTTCCACAAATGGTTCTGGGAAGGGGTGAGGCGGGATCACTCCTAGCTCCACACACAAGAATGAATTCAAAATGGGTCAGACGTGCTATGAGACCTACAGGCATAAAGTACACACGAAAATGTACTTGAACCTTCCAAGGCATCCGTCACGGAGCCGCCCGAGGGGGCGCCCCAGAACAAGGGAAGTGAGAGCGAAAGCAAGCGGGGACTGTCACAGGGCAGCCCAGCGTGCCCTGGCCGCCGGTCTGTGGGCCTCACCCTGCAGACACGCAAAGGGTCACCAGTGGGCTCATTTACAAGGGGAAAGGAAAGGACCAACCAGGGAAAGAGAGAGAGACAAGTGAGCTGGTGCGCCCTACCAGCCCCGCCGACCTGGACCCCCAACAGCACACTGGGAGCAGATCAAGAGCCAAGCGGCCAGCCGCCAGCCACTGGCCACAGGAGCGCGCCTCGGCCCGACATGTGGCCCTGCTAAGTCTCTGGTGAATTCTTTCACCCCTGCACCAAATTCTCCCCTGTGACAAAAGTAATCTTAAGATTCTGTTTGATTCTGTATCTGTATCTATTATGCACATATACGTTACTGCTATCACCAAGAAAAACTTGTTCCCTCAATAAACTACTTGAAAAAACATTTCCTAAATTGTTTAGAAAAGCCACTGTCAACTCGATTCTGACCCCAACGGCCCAGAGTGAGGACAGACTCTGCCAGTCAAGGGCTCAGGCCCACGAGCCCGCCCTCGTCCAGGCACCTGGCCCCCGGCTTCCCCACACACTGGCTGGCGCGACCACAAAGCGAGGCTGCCCACACGCCCGCCCTTCAGGTTCGGTGAATGAGGAGAAAGACAAACAAGCCATTAAAGCGCCACTGTCACAGCTTATGATAAAGGGAGACAAAGGCCTCGGAGGTTCATCAGCTAAGTCCGGAAGGGTCCAAAGTGCAGGACCTCCGGCCTCGTGGAGCAGGGTGCCACCCTCCGCACAAGGCCGTGTCTGCAAGTCCAAAAGCTCTGACCCCATCGTCTGAGGGGTCTGACGGAGTCTCTCATGCCCCGCGGCTGAGGAGGTCACTGAGCTCTGGCCCCGCTTCCACCCCGATCTCTCTCCTCCCTGGAAGACGGCAGGTTCCAAGCTTCTATGTCTGGTCTTTCTGGAGACCAACCACACCCTGAAGCCATGGCCAAGAGTTGCCTCACTGGAACAAAAGACGCTGCTCTCATCCTCACCACTCAGGGCATTCCAGGGGTTTCAGGAGCTCCATGCTGGGAGCTGCAGCGAGAGCAAACAGATCCCCCGTGACAACACACCCAGTTTCCAGGTGGAAGATTTTGCCAAACAAATGCAGAAGACCACCAGAAGTGGACACACAAAAATAAGAAGGAGGCTGTCAGGATCAGGCAAGACCCCGGTACAGCTCGCCCACCCCGGCACTCCCTGGCTCTCGTGACAACCCTTAGTCCCTGACAACCGTCACGTCGCTTACTGCAGGGCAGCAAGACTGAGAAAGCAGACAGGCGCGTCCCCGGCCAGTTCGTACAGTGGATTTCCACCCAAGGGGCCTAACGCATCCTGGCGGAGAAAGCGGGCTAACCTCAGTTTCTAGAAATCTCACCCACATCTCATGATGTTCTAAGAGACAGGCAAAATTATGAAAATACATAATCTTGAAAAATAAACAGCCAGCCTCAGTGCGAAGAGAGCTGGAGGGCCTCCCTGGTGCCGACGGGCTAGGCGCGGCACCGTGACGCCAGCGCAGCCGCCCAGCACGAGCTCGACCCCTGCCAGGAAGGGACCCCGGGGGCAGCAGACCGCTCCTGACCCCCCGGCTGCTCCCTCGGCAGTGTAATTCAGTAGATCCGCCTGTTCTTCTCCCCGCTCTGTCCCTGGTGAATCCTCTCACCCCACACCTCTGGCCTGGACCCCAGTTCTGTATGCATAAATAAGTAAATCTTTAAAAAGAAAAAAAAAAGAAAGCTGGAGGAAAGGAGCCACTGGCTACTGTGAGGCCCTACCAGGACGGGGTGCCGGGCCACTGAGCACAGCACACCCCGCAGTGCTGCTGCTGCCCATGCGCAGTGAGCCCCAGAGAGCCGCCCCACAGAGGCAAGGGCGTAAAGACGGTGTACCCCTGCACAATCAGGCCACATTGTCTTACGCGTAAAATCTTACTAAACAAAAATAAGCGATGGACAGACCTGCCGATGAGCCGAGAGTTCACAGGGCTGTGCCTGGTGATTTCAGAATCTTATTCACCACGAAGACGTGTGACACTACTCGTTCATTCACGTTAAGAGAATAATACCTTTAATGCCAAACCAACGTCTTTGTTTTCATCTGTATAGGGAGGTTTCCAAAGTTGAATTCTGTCTTCCCTTAAAAACTGGGTCAGTTTCGCCTGGAGGTATTTCTTTTGCGCCATCCTACAGAGCAAAAAGGTAGAGCAGTGATAAGGCTGTGACCTATTAGCACACTCGTGTTTTACAGAGAAAACAGAGCCCCCGTCACTCACCCCCCTCAGCCCCATCCTAATTAGGTTTTAACTAGCCCAGATGTTGCTAAAATATACTTTATCTATAGACCGAAACACACATGATCTATTCAACTACGTATTATGCAGATATAGCATAAAACTGTATTTCAAAGTTACTATGTACTAAGGCTTATTCCACATTTCTTAACCTGCTATTATTTTCTGTTAAAAGATAAAAACGAGAGATGAAGCCCTAAAGAAAGGAACTTTCAGAAATAAGTCAGCACAGAGCTTATATACCCGCTTGTATGTAACATGCAACAGAAGACCAGCCACTCTGGTGGGGAGCACCAAGGAAAGCTGGCGGGAACCATGAACCCTCAGTAGTGAACAGTCTCCACATCCGAATTCTTTTACAGTACAGAAAAGCTCTGCACATAGTGATGACCGCTCACCAGCAGGCGGTGTGGCTTTGTGACCAGAGCACACGGGCAGACCCACAAATCTGCGTCATTTTACAGCGGGGAATGGCCAGGCTCCCACTTGTAAAGAGACATGGCCAAGGTGAAAAACCGAGACAGCGCATAACCAGCGCTGGGACTCCCACCGGGGGCATGTGGGTCTCTGCCCCACCCAGCCCCCAGCACCAGGCGCTCCTTACCCAGCCCCCAGCACCGCAGGCTGCCGCCTAAGTCAAGCAGGTGGCAGGGACAGTGCAGCCAGACCAGAGAGGCAGCCACAAAAGCACAAAGTTGCCAGCTCCGGAAAGAGGAAGTGGCTCCGCGCGAGCAGCCCGGTTTGAGCTGCTCTGGCTAACTGACTGTGGTTTTCCTGCCGCCCTGCGGTACCACGCCCCGGGCCCAATCCACCTGATGGACAATCCTTGTCTAGTCCACAAACAAGGATTTCAGAACAAAGTCTAACTCTTTATTTTGGTTTGGGGGTGAAAGGGGAACCAGGATGGGAAGGAGGGGTGAGTGGAATAAACACATCAAACAGGGGTTATGGGTACCAGGGGTTCCCCACACTGAGGCTTTCGTGCTCAGGAAGTGCGGCTTGGCTCGCAGAGAAGCCCTGGGACTTTCTGAGGGGCCGCTTTCCCCACACAATTCACTTACAGGCCCACCCTACATCATTGTACACGCAAAATCTTACGAAGCCCGAGTACCACTCGGAGAGGGTGTGGTCGTGGGGTGCTTACCCCCCCCATGGGAGTGGAGGGGCCATTTCAGGGGCTGCTAACTGAGCGAGGGCACTGCTCCCCTGGGTCGCACCCAAGCCACCACCCAAACTAGGGGGCCTGGCACACCAGGCACGCCCACGCCCTCGCCGGGCACACGGAGCCCAGGGGCTGCCCCGCCCCCACCGTGCCCAGACCTACAGCGCTTCCGTGACTGACGGCAGACGCTCGGCAAACGCTCGCACGGACGCAG